CTTGAACCCACTTTGTTTAAGAAGCATGGTACTTGGCACCTTTTGATGACATGCATGAAGGGCTATTTTGGTGATGTCTTGTTTCACAAGCGGCATGCTACATGGATAATTGCTGGAAATTGTGTTCATGTATATAATATGATAGTGGTGTTGGTGGTAGATAGTGGCATGTATAGAATATGATAGTGGTGTTGGTGGTAGATAGTGGTATGTATAGAATATGATAGTGGTCTTGGTGGTAGATAGTGGTATGTATAGAATATGATAGTGGTGTGGTAATTTACACAATTTACAATTTACATTAACACACTTCCTGCTCTGATACCAACCACTATCATATTCTATACATACCACTATCTACCACCAACACCACTATCATATTCTATACATGCCACTATCTACCACCAACACCACTATCATATTATATACATGAACACAATTTCCAGCAATAATTAAGGGATTGCGAGGACATTTAAGAATTTTTGAAACTCTAGAGTCTGAATGGGACTCGGTGGGAGATTTGAGGTGATTAATATTGAGAACTGGAAAATTGTTTAAATTAGAAGTGGGGCTAAGAAACTTAATCCTTGGAGGAAAGGACAATTTTGGAGATATTGAACCAATATAGGAGGTTTCAATTACGTGATCTTTAGCTAATAATCTCTAATAGTGGGAAGGAATCCATTGGAGTTGGTAATGTAGTTGGGGAACTTGAATGGACATATTTGAAGAATGATTGTTGGAGGTGGCATTTTACCCCAAGTCATGATAGAGTTAGGATTTGTGGAGGAAAGGTGATTTGTTGGAATTTTAGAATTATTTTATTGTTCAATTAACTGGTGGTATCATGTGTGGTTTGTTGTTTTCAAATAAGTATAATTAGGCATACTAGGAGAGTAGGCATGTTTGTTTGGACGGATTGGATAAGGGGGATTGCAATATAATGGATTGTTAGTCCTAGAGGCTAGAATAAATAGTCCCTAGACTATTTGACTGAAAATGATGTTTATTTGATTATTAGTTCGACCTTCACTTTGCTAACCAAATGGTGGACTAGTAAATCTATTGGACATGTAGTCCAATCCCATGAAACAAATGCTACCTAAGTGTTTATGATTTGGGGGGAGATTAGAGTAGTTGCAAAGTCTTACCAGAGGTATGTTAGGGTTCCTTGAACTAGAATTGATTGAGGTAGTGAGTTGACCCATAGGTGATCGTTATTTAGGTTTCATGAGTTTTTAGTGATTTTCAGTTATTTGGTTAACCGTCGGGGTTTTCCTAGGTATGGTGCCACATAGATGGGACCAAGGTTTTAAAAAGTAGCAGCATTCGTTATGCAACACCATTACATAATAGTTGTGGTGGTTATCACCACGTATTACAGTTGCTATAACAGTGACATAAATTCACAACTGTAATGGTGAATGAAAAGGTCGTAATGTTCATTACATTGTCGCTGCAACACCGTTATGGACGTTACGACAATTATGCTTTTATTTATATTTTTTAATAAATTTTGTATATAATGTTATTTTCTCTTTTTATTTTCTAGTTACATAAAACTTAAGTAAAGCTCTTATCTATACATGTTTTTGCAAGATTTCATTATTTTTTCACTTAATTATATTTGAATATACTTATATTTATTTCTGTTGCGTTAAATTTATTGAACAAACTTAAGATTTCATGTTATGTAATTTTACATTTTTATGTTGACATTTTTTATTGGATGAATTACACTAACGGTCTCTGTAGTTTAGGACTTGTGTCACTTTGATCCCTGATCTTTCAATTGTGATGTATTTGACATTAAATTTTGAATCTTGTTCCAAATAAGAACAATTAAAGACATTGTTGCTCTATTTCAAGGGCAAAGTTGTCAATTTAATAAAATATAAACTAGTTTGACAAAAATAAATGTGAAAATTATTTTTCAACTTTTAAAAATTATTTCTACCCACCAAAGATAAAATTATATAAAATGGATAAATCTTTTACATTTTTATTTTTTTACCAAATTAATTTTTAGTGTGTTTGGATGATGATCATGTAATGGTTGGTTATTTTTATTAATATTTTTTTTATGGTTATCATGAATAGATGGTTGTATTTTTTGTTAACAGATATTTTTGAATGGTTATCATGTAATGAACGATTATTAGTCTTTTAATATGTAATCGATATGTTTAATATAAAATGTTTTTAATTTTAGATTTTTTGATTTAATGGATTGGTTTAATAATCACATCAAAACTGTCACCATGTTTGACTTTTGAAAAAAAATTAAAAACAAATTATTTTTATATAATTTTATCTTTTGGGAGGGTAGGAATACAATTTTTTATATTTATTTTCGTTTAATTAGTTTCTATTTTTTTTAAAATCAAACATAGCGACAATTTTAATATCATTATCAAACAAATCCATTAAATCAAAAAATTCAAAATTAAAAACATTTCATATATTAAACATATTGATTACACATAAAAGCCTAATAACACTCCATTACATGATAACCATAAAAAAAAAATTTTAGTCATTTATTACATGATAATCATAAAAAAAATCAACAAAAGCAACCAATCATTTCATGATCATCATCCAAAAACATACTTAATTTGGTAAAAAAATAAAAATGTAAAAGATTTATAATTTTCTCCTTGGTGGGTAGAAATAATTTTTAAAAATTCAAAAATAAAATCCACATTTATTTTTTGTTAAATTAGTTTATATTTTATCAAATTGACAATTTTGCCTGTCCTTATTTGAAACAAAATTCAAAATTCAAAATTCAAGGTCAAATATATCACAATTGAAAGGTTAGGGACTAAAGTGACACAACCCTCAAACTACAAGGACCGTTGTGTAATTGGCCTTTTTTTATTTTGAACTTGTGTTTATGAGACTATTATTTTTAATATTAAACATACTTCATTTTTTTTTTTCTTAACAAATTGGAAGTTATCCATAGTCTAATTAGTAAAGCAAAGAAAATTAAATAAATCTAACAATAGAAAAAATCTTCATAGTGACTTAAAACTAATATAAAAATTAGTATATATACAATGGAACATGTTTAAAACTAAACAAAAATACTAAAAATCATTTTGAACCTCACCAAATGTGATTGTGAAATAAAAATATGCGTATCGGTATGTTTTCCTAAAGATGTGCGAAGAATTAAAAATTTCACGGTTCCGGTTGCCGCCACCGTTATGCTATGGTTATTTAAAACCTTGGATGGGACCGTACTAGTCCGCTTTGGTAAGATTGAAGAAAATGAAAGTATGGTTCTAGAACATGTTAGGAGTAAACTTACTTGAGCTAGTTATGTGTATGTATATTCATGTGAAAGTGCAGATCTATGGGCACAATGTAATGTTTAGTGCCTTTTTTGGAAAATTTAACTCGCTGATTCAGCAATATGGCGTCATCTAAGAAGCACATACACTTCTAAGAAGGTGGCTTGTAGTGTTGGACGTGTTGAATATTGACACTCATCAAACACTTTTTAACACCTATCGGACACATGTCCAAACGTGTCTTGTTTTTAAAAAATTTCCACTATTGGACATGTTTTAGAGACTTGGGAACACGTCTATTTGTTAGACAAATATGAAAGACAATACAAGTTTGAATAAAATAACTTGAAAATCAAATGATTAGAAAAAATATATGTAAATTTTATAGTTGTTATTGTCCTTCAAACTTAAAAATTATAGGTAGTGTTTGGTAGAGTTTTAGAATTATAATTTGAGAATAGAGTTGTATTTTGAGTTTGTGAGTTTTGGAATCATGATTTGAAAAAAGAAAATTTGTTTGGTTATGAGTTTTGAATTTTTGATGTGACATGTGAAATGAGAAATGTTGTTTGGTTATAAATTTTGAAACGAGTTTTCAAAACTTAATTGAAAAATATATAACTCATAACCAAACACACAATTCAAAATTCTATTGAAAATTTTATTCAAAACTCATAACTGAACTCTTTTTAAAATTCAATTCGAAAAAATAATTTGTCATTTTGGTCTAAAAAAATAATTTCTATATTTAAAAATATCAAAAACAAATATAATTTTTTTTTTAAAAAATAACAGGTGGCGCAGAAAAAAGAGTACTGTTCCAATCAACTGACCGGACATCCGGGAAGATGTCTGGGCGGATGATCGGGTAGGCCAAAAATTCAAAAATTATCTACTTTACCAAACATGTTTTTAAAATGTATTTTGAAATTGATTTGGAATCATGATTTGAAAACTCAAACCAAACATAGCATTAGAATGTAAGAGTGGAAATTTTAGAAAACTCTACCAAACACAGCCATAATCTTTGAATTAAATATTCATATGTGGCATATGATAATTGCTTATTGTTATGTATGTCATATAATGAATACATGAAACTATATGGCATGTGTCCTCGACGTGACCTTCACGCGTTGTGTTCTATATTTTTTCAAAGTTTCCTTGTCATCACGTCTGTGTTGTGTTTATTGTCATGTCACATGTCGTGTCCATGCCTGTGCTTAGAGCATCATGCTTTGTAAGTTGGGGGTATAGTATATAGTTTTGTTCTTGAGGAGCAAAGTTTATGAGGAGAGATTGGTAGCGCTTCTGATTATGGGGTTTCAGGAATTTGACTGGAATTCTTTTTTAGGTTCTTGATCAGTTATGTTTTCATAGATTTTGGAGAAATCATGAAAGTGTGATTTCTAAAATTTTACCATTTTCTTTGATGTCTTTGTGCACCAATGTAGTGCTAATTTTGTGTGGAACCACATTATTTGTTTTTCTTTATGTTCTTTTATTTTTTTATAGCCTTTTCCATTTTTATTCTGTAGGAAATTAATACTACTTTCACATTGTTAACATGTGGTATCAAAAAATTTGAACAATGCTCCACTTGATAATTTTTTGCGTATTTCATTTGTTCTTCATTGAATCTTTTTCTCTATGTGGCATATAGCAATGTTTCCATATGAAGACACTTGACAATTTTCATTTCCTTCATAAACAGGTTATTGGGGTGAAAAGGAGGCAGGTTTCTATAGGTCATGGTTCTAAATCAAGGGACAAAGTTGTAATTGTGGAGGAGATAACTTTACAGAGTGTTTTTGATGCTTTGGATAGAGTTTGCAAGAGTCACTAATGGAAACAAACACGAGCTGTGACTTCCTTCTATGAATGTTATTTGGTCTCGAAGTTTATCTAGTTACCCCCAACAATGAGGTTGTGTCTTTAAAGGTATTAAATTATTTGCTTGTTTGTCATAAAATTTTCCTCAGACATACATACGTAATATCATGGTGATCCCTCATACTAACATGTATATATATATATATATATATTTGACTTCTTTCTCGCAAGGGGAGTTTCTCTCATTTCTCCCTTCATCTTTCGACATGTATGTTTAATGTTTGAGATTTGGTTTTGAAGTTTGGTCTTCTTCCATAATAGATATGGCCATTTTCTATTTGCCTATTTATTATAACCACACTGGACATTCCATCCCATACCAATCAACTCCTTTTATGGTTGCTGCTAGACATGTTTTCCGTACAACTCTTTTAAAAATCTCGGAAGTCTTGTTATATGTACCAGCTATCATCTATGATTCTATGAACGACTTGTATGATTAGTGGGCTCTCCTTCATGGCATCAAATAGTTCCTTGTTTTCGAAATTTTCTTGTAAGGTATTGAGGCATACTCGTTTAGTTTGGAAAGATAAATTTTTTCGCGTCAACAATAAATAAAAAGATACAGTTCTTGGACTTCTCAATTTGTTCTGTGGCCTAGCTCCATTATGCATAGTTTTTTTCTTTTTCTTTTTCTTTTTCTTTTTATTTCATTTATCTATTATGGCCTTGATTTGATTGATGGTGAAAATTTTGACCTCAGTTTTTGGAGAAGTTATTGGTTGGGCTTGAAGTATTGTTTCACACCATTCATTGAGGGACAAGTATCTTATTGTCTCCTAAAAAGAGACAGAAAAGTGGTTAGTCTCACTAATTCAACTAATAAGATTCCAGTTAGAGCACCAGATCAGCTTGCCTCTGGAGCAAACAATAATTTTCCTAGTTTTTGTCATTTCTATCTTCTTGTTTTTAACTTCGAAAAAGCTGCCGGCTTATATTGTGGTTTTACCTTGCTATTTTTTCATTAACCAACCTTTAAATTTATATGAATGTGGTTTAACTTCAAAAAAGCTGCCTGGTTATCTATTTTGTTGTTTTCTAATTTTCGATCATTAAGCTTTACCTAGTGCTCGATGTGCAAACATACGTACATAGTGTTCATGATGCAAGATAAAATTTGATTTTTATTGGTTTAAAGAGTTTTAAGAGTGAATACATCACTTTAATGTCAACTTTTTAAAAGGCAAGAAGAAATGTCACTAGTTGAATGTTGTGTACTTTTCATGCAGTTACGGCCTATCAAGTCAAAACACTTTTTTAGGCAGAGATGATAATTTGAAAAAGAGCCGTGATTCGGACCCCGAGTACGGAAGCACCCCCAGCACCCCCACCTCCACGTGGAGGGCTGCCAATGGAGAAGAAAAAGAAAAAGAAAAAAAACAATTTTGGACCAATGAAAACAGACCCCCAGCACCCCCACTGGGGGTCTTAAGCTTTATTCTTTGAAAAAGATCAAACCTTATATATGTATATATATATATATATATATGATAATATGAATGTCAATTTTATCCAAATTATAATCTTCGCTAAACTAATCGTGAGAATTTCTAAATCATAAAATTTCTAATTAAATTCAACGTATGTATAATAAAAATAATTATGTATCTAAAAAAGCATTCAAAAAATACATTCAAATTCAGATCTCGTGTAGTGGTGATCACACTTAGAATGAATACTGTTGTATATATTTTATTTTTTGGACAATTTTTTCGATATCTTTCTTTGGGTATAAATCTACTCCTTTCTCTCTATTCTACATTTTGTTCAAGGTACAAGAATTTTTACATAAGATATAAGTTTTAACAATATTACAAATTCAGAAAAATTATTCATAAAGCTACTCAGAAAAGTAAATAAAAATAGCATTCATTGTGGGTAAAGTTTATATTCCACTAATTTTAAATTTACACTGTACACTCCACCTTGAGAGAAATTTTCAAAGTACCATTTCATAGTTGGTAACATTTTTTTTAAAATAAGTTTTACAATACTTATAGGAGTGTACAAAAAAAAAATTAATGAACGCGTTTAAAGGCTTTTCTACGCCTTGAGTGCTTCCAAATAAAACCCGTAATTATGCAACTTACTTTGAAGGATAAGAGTTTTTCATAAGAACATTTATTATATATATGTAGTGAGTGTAAAAATAAAATTTTAAAAATGACAAATTAAATTAGCAATGCTTATACTTTGAAACTTGTGTCACTTTAATATTTAATCTTTCAATTGTAATATATTTGATTCCAAATTTTAAATCTCGTACTAAATACAGACAATCAAATATGTCTTTTTCTTTGCAAACAAAAAATTCTCAATTTCAAGGGCAAAATCCTCATGCTACTTATTTTGTATTGGTTAACTTGTTTTTTGTTTGAAATTTAATAGCCTTTTTTTTTAATGAATAATTGGTTATAAACTTTTGTTATGGCGATCCCAGTTTTGCCACTTCGCTGAGTATGTCGGGGATTGAGCTGCCCAGTCAGCTCGCGGGGGTCCAGGGGGCAGCGCCCCTTGGCGGGTTTAAGGGCAGTGCCCTGGTGGAGGTCGAGTTGCCCGATCAGCTCGCGGGGGTCCAGGGGGCAACGCCCCTTGGCGGGTCCTAGGGCAACGCCTTGGCCGGGGACCCCAAAACAAAAATGCAAGATGCATTCGAAGTTACTTGTCCGCTCGAGCGGGAAAGTAAGCCGCACGTGCGGATTTCAGGGGAAAGCAGCTTGCACACTGCTAAAAAGGCAGGTGCGGGAGTGAGGTGCGGTGGGTTGGTGAGATCCGAATTTTTTTCCCTTTTCTTCTCTCTGTGGGCTGAAGTTGAATCACTTTTGTATATCTTTCTCTCTCTAAAAACATTTCCTCTTCCTTCTCTCTACATTTCCTACCAACAACCTCACAAGATCTTTTATTTCTTCAAATCCTTTGGGATTTGGACTTAAGTTCTTCATCAAAGTTGGTTAGCTCCTCGAGGGCTTCGTTGTGTGCGATGAAGATCGAGTTTGGACACCGTTGATTTTGGGAATTTCATCTCATTTCTTCTTCAAAACTTGAGGTGGGGATTTTCTTAGAGTTATATATATATTTTGCAAAATCTAGATGATTTTCGAAATCATCCTTTGATAGCTTTGAAAATTGATTGCGAATTCAAGAAGTTGAGCGATTTTGAAAGTAGGTTTGTCTCTTGTTCTTTTAAAATGATCTTATGAGTTTTAATCTTCGTTGATTGAAGAAAAGATGATTTTGGAAAAAAAAAATTCAAAAGATTTGAGTTGTTCAAAACTTGAGGTAGGGATTTTCTTAGAGTCATATATATATTTTGCAAAATCTAGATGATTTTCGAAATCATCTTTTGATAGCTTTGAAAATTGATTGCGAATTCAAGAAGTTGAGCGATTTTGAAAGTAGGTTTGTCTCTTGTTCTTTTAAAATGATCTTATGAGTTTTAATCTTCGTTGATTGAAGAAAAGATGATTTTGGAAAAAAAAAATTCAAAAGATTTGAGTTGTATAATTTTTGTGAGAAAACCTAGAATTTGGGGATTTTTTTTAAAGAGATTGAAAATCCATGAATGATATTGTCATATTTATTTTGTGTATCAAAATAAATGGATGTTTAGAAAATTTCTTATTTATATTTATATAAATGATGAATTTCAGGGAATATAAGAATTGTTGTTCATTTTGAAAATTATTGTTCAAAACATTGAAATAGTCTTGAAATAACTAATTGTTGAGAATACTTGAGAAAAGGGAATTGTGTTATTCCTTGGATGATGAATTGAAATAAAAGTATTTATATTCATCTTGTGTTATTGGCATATCAATTCATTTGATTATATTAAACTTTGAAAGTTGATTTGAAAACTTGTATTGAGAAAAGAATGTTGAGAAACAAGTTTCCATGAATTGGTTTTGGGGTAAATACAGTGGTAAATCTTGACAGGTGGTGTAGATTGTTAGACTTATTTATTTTGATGATTTATTTAATTATGTTTTAATTTATTTGAAAGAGAGAAATAGAATCCAAAATTTATTTTGATGATTTATTTGAAAGAGAAAAATAGAATCAAAATTTATTTTGTTCCATTATTTCTCACCAAAACCTTTATCCTAAATGTTGTTAGAATGTATTTAATATTTGATTAAATAAGGAGTTCAAACAGCATAAAACAAAGGTTCAAACAGCCTAGCACAACAGCAGGCCAAAAGATTCAAAAGGTTCAAGTGGAAGATATTCAAATTTGTAATGATGGAGTGGAAGATATTCAAATTGGTAATGATGGAAGTACAACGGCTATAAATTCAAATGACTACAACGACTATAAACGGCTATAAACGACTATAAATTCAAATGACTACAACGACTATAAACGGCTATAAATTCAAATGAATACAACGGCTATAAACAGTTATAATTTTCATTATATATTCCAAAGCCTCTAATGTAAATAAGTTACAAAAAACCTGAAAATATTCTTTGATCTATAATCACTCACATCTATTCTCAGAAATTATACACTGAGCCTTATAGCTGTAAGCCCATCTTTCCTGTGTGAGATTTACAGAAAAATCAAAGCTTCATTTTATATATCTATCTTTGAGAGATATTTATTGTAAACTTTCTTTGAAAGCAAAAATATCATTTCATCTTGTAAAAGTGTTGCAAACACTGTGTTCTTGAAATCTTAAGAGTGATTGTGAATCACCTAAGATTTGCAAGGATTTGGACTTGTGAAGTCTGTGTAAAATCCGTGGAGGATTGCTCCATTTATAAAGAGGTTACTAGCACCCTTGTGAAGCTAGAAGATAGTGGAAAATCTCAAGTAAATCTTGAGGAGTGGACGTAGGCCGAGTTGAAACCGAACCACTATAAATTTGTTTGCCTCTCCCTTATCTCTTTATTTTATTTTAAATTTCCATAGCTATATTTCACATTTTTACTGTGATAAAATCATTAACTGACATAGTTGTTAAGATACATGTTTTAATTATTTTTATTTCATTAATTATATTTATCTATTGTGCTAGTCATAATTTTTATTAAGGTATTATTAATTTTAATTGTAAAAACCTAATTCACCCCCCTCTTAAGTTGTCTTTTGAGTAACAATTGGTATCAGAGCCTAGACTCTTGCTTTAGATTTAACCATCTAAGAGTTTCGATCCATGGCAACCTTAGCTAGCACTAGCACTACTGAAGGACAAGCCATCAATAGGCCACCATTATTTAACCGAAACAACTATAGTCATTGGAAAGATAAGATGACCCTATACCTATAAGCCACTGATTATGCTATGTGGA